AAAGTCAGTCAAGAATTCATGAAGCAATCAAGAAAATGACCAATTAAATAAGAAGTAATTTAATCCAAAGCATGCAAACCAACTGAGAATTCACCTAGATAAAATATCTAAACAAATAGAAAATGATAAATAAAGAAAGAGAAAGGATAAAGAAATCAAAAAAATGATTAATTAAATAAGAAGCTATTAAAAATAATTTAACTCAAAGAATTGTGCAAATCAATCAAGAATTTACCTGAATGAAACATTCAAACAAATGATGAAAAGAGAGAGAAATAAGAAATGAAGAAAGGGAAAGAGTAAGAAAAAAAATTGCTTTTTTTCCTACTGAATTTGCTATTATATCATTATTAGTTGCATATGACACATGATTAATAATAAGTTACATACTAGTACATAAATGTTAAATTATATATTATGATGAAATAAAATCACATGATATACACAAAATGATGTGCACAAAAAAAGATTCAGAATTTGTTTTAATCTGAATTTATTTTAATCTGTCATATATAATACTTATTTATTATTTATTATAATATATTATAACTCCAAAATTTTATAAGTTATAGCTAGTTATAACTAGATAATATTTTATTTATTATTATATTATTTTTAGTTATAATATTATTATTTATAATACTTCTTTATAAGATAAAGAATATAAATAATTAATATTAGAGATATCATTTCTGACTTGCAATAGCTAATTAGAGAATTATAATAGTTAATTAGAGAATTATAATAGTTAATTAGAGAATTATAATTAATTTTAATACTATCTTTAATTAATACAAGTATAATAAATATTTGAATTATTTAAATAATATTTTATATTAATACTAGTCTTATTATTATCTAATTTTAAATTACTATTCATAGTCATCACAGATACTTTTAATTTTACTATAAAAATTATATTAAGTCAAAATTAAAATAAAAATAATTAATTAATAATATTAAAATAAAAGTTTATAATAATTACAGATCATATCTCTTTAAAATATATTAATATATATATAATTTTTTCAAGAGATAAACTTATTAATTAAAAACTTTACAAGTCAATAATTTTGAAGTAAAATATAAATCTGATAAAGATAATATTATTACAAATATACTTTCATATTAATTATATCTGATAAAAAAATATTAAGAAGATAAATATTTTACAGAGATATATAAAGTCTTGAAAAATTTTAATAATATAATGCCAAAATAATAGGCCAAAATAAAGTATTTAAGTTAAAAAAAGATTTATTATACTTGAAAAATATTAATTATATGACTATATCTGATAATAAAATACTAAAAATAAATATATTATTTAAATTTTATAATATATTAATTATAGAATATATTAATATAAATAAGATATATATAATTATATCTCAATAATTCTACTAATCAAAGATAAAAAGAATATTTATAAATATAATATTAATTATGAATTATATTAATATAATAAAAGTAATAATTAATAATTTTTTGGATTACTTTAGTCTCTTATTATTTTAGAATATAAATAAAAATATATTATCAAGAATTTTATAATTCAATTATTAATTATTAAGTTTGAATATAATATTATAATTATATTTATAGATAAGTTATCAAAAAGAGCATACTTCATATTTATTATTATAATAGTAACTGTATTTGATATTATAAAGATTTTCTTTAAAATATCTTTAAATTATATAACTTATTTATAATAATAATATTAAATAAAGATATAAAATTCACAAGTAAATTTTAAAAGCTATTATTTAAATATCCTGAATATAAAACTTGTAATATCTATAGTATTTTATTTATAATTAGATGATCAGACAAAAAAATTAAATAGAATCTTAAAAGAAATACTTAGAATATATGTAATTTATCAACAAAATAAATAAGATGAAAATATAGTAATCACTAAATTCATCTATAATAATAATAAAAATACTTTAACTAATTATATACCTGTAACAATTCTGATTAGATTATCTCTCTTTAGTTCAGATCTTTATTTTGTACTATTTGTATAATAGATTAGCTTCTGTATTACTTTTTATAAAGATCAATTTCATTCTGGATATACAAATGATCATCTATATATTTAATACATTAGATTTAGCATATTATTACTAAAGATATTATCTTAATTAATTATGACTAGTGATAGTCAATCAGAAAATTATGATCAATTGTGATAACTAATCAGAGAATTATGATTAAGTTGTGATATTATTTTTAATTATTATGCAAATGATCACTATATTATTAATTTAGATAATTAATATTTTTAATTAGATTTCTTTTAATAATTTCTTTATATTTTTATTCATTCCTTCATATTATTATTTATATTATTATTTATTATATTATTAATTATTAGATTATGATTAATTACTTTCTAAAGATGCAAATTAAGTTAATTAATTTTGTTAAATTATATATAAATTAAATTAGAAATTTATTATTAATTTATTTGCTTTTTATATTTCTTTCTTTCACTATAAATATATTCTTTCTGTTTTGTAAATTATTCCTCAGATCTGAATCTTGTATCCTCTAAACTTATAAAATCCTTTGTTCGCAAGAGTCCTCAGCATTTATGTTAAAATTTCTATTTTGTATTATCAAACAATAGTTCTCTTGTCATACTAATACATAATAACTTATTTTAATATAATTACATATTCTTTTATTCTTTTTATGTAGATATTACGTCCTTAAGATAAAAACTCACATTTTGTACTTTAGAAGCCTGTGAAATATGTACTAAATTATCATTTGTAATTTAGATAGTTATGTAATAAAGAAATTGTATAAAAAGGATCGATTTAGAAAGTCCATGATATAGACAATGTGTGGTTTGAAGAATTATTATAAATTCTTATCTAACTACATTTTGGATTTTGTGCTCTAAGAAAATCGAAGGCATTACTTTTTTGTCATAAAAAAGTGATGCAGCTCGTTTGATTATTTGGTTATTTAATTATTTTGATTAGAATTTTCTTTTAGTATTTGTAATTATTTTTGTTATTTGAATTTATATTTGTCATTACTTTGTTAATTAAAATTAATTATTTAATTTTGAACTTTACTTTTGATTGTACAATCTTCGTGAAAGATTGGCACAAGAGACCTTTAGAACCCTTGTGATACCTCACTCTGTGATCATTCAGTCTAGCTCACGACCTTTGTTGCATCTCATTTCCGACAATATACTAAAAATTTTGGTGTAAATTAATCAATATTCTTTCTCTCTCGATTGTTTTATTAGTGGTTTTATTCCAATAAGTAACTCAGCAATTGAAACATTTAACAATTATCATAACTTCTAAGTCTCGAAATTTAATGGCAAAAATTTAATACTTTCAAAAATTTTTTAGAACGATTTACAATATACAGTCAATCTTGATAAATTGAATCATTGTTTTTGAACCTATATAAACCGAATTTTATCAATAGATATAGTAAAATATACTAAATAAACCTTGAAAAGCCGAATTTGTTGATTTTTTGGCCTTTTAGCTTAATCGCTGGTAACATCAATGCGCAAAAAATTCACCACAAGAAGAATTCTGTGATAAGACAAACTTTTATATAACACAGTAAAAAGATGTCTTTTCCGTAATTCTCTGATGAATTAGCGAAATTTTTTTCTCATCTTTAATATGCTTGGACTTAATGATCATATATTAACCATTTCTTTTAGAGCAAGAAACACTCAACGGTAATAAGTTTTATCTTAATATAAAAGATTGCCAATTTTTTTTGAAGATTGCGAAAACGTGAAATTAAAATAGTAAATTCGAAATTGGAAAATGTCTCTTGAACTATAATTCAGCTTCAAGATTTTTTATTATTGCTTTAAACCTTGTCAGCCAATATTTTGCGAATTGAATTTAAAAGTTTATCGATGCAATTAAACTTATCACGCTTCTAATAGACAATAGAGTCATAAAAAATGAAAGGTTACCTAATTTTTCTGCATGACACGACACTTCTACTGCAAAACTTTTAGCTTATATGATTATCTTATTGTTGTAATGTCTTACTCAACTAATTCATTATGGGATTGGATCAGTTATTGAATTGTACTTCTCACGATTTAGTGGGTATGGGAATATGGCTTTATATAATCAAGCTAAGATGTGCTATGACTAGATTAATGAAAGCTATTTATTAAAATTACTCGCAAGAAGAAAACGCCAAGCAACAAGACTCAGGGCTGAACCAACCAACCAACCAACCAATACACCAGATACGACACCTGGAAAACGAAAACTGCGTGAATAGAAAAAATTTGCTTTGGTAAAGCAAATGGCAACCAACAGTCAAGAAATACCGTTGATAAAAACAATCACAAATAAACTTGATCGGAATTAAACCAAACCGTCTTCATCAGCAAAGGCGAAACATCAAATCAATAACATTACACCACGAGAAAACTGTTGCTGTCAAATACATGTGTGTATGCAGAAAGACAAGTATTTAACTGACAAGCAACCCTGGTGTAACCTTACCTTCAATCCTAACCTTAATATGTTAATATGGCGAATCAATATTGAGTTTCACGGCTACCATTTTTTTACAGGTGACGCTAATTTAATCAAAAATCAGCTGATAGTTTGATCATATCACGTAAAAACACCTCAATTGTGCAACGGCTCATTGTCTTTTTTACAAATAAGGTATCTGTATACATGTACTTATATTTATGGTATAAAAGGAAACTCTTAAAAGGGACATGTTTAGTTAATTGAACAGTAATGTATCAACTTATAAAGAAATGACAAAACAATTATTGATTTTATGAGTTTTATAGTCCTTTCTAATTATTATTCTCTAATACAATACAGTATAATATATCTTTACTTCATTAATTCTTTCATTAAAGATTGTGATTTATTGTGTAAAGTACTTTCATAATTCCATTTGAAAACTATAAAAGGCATTTTTGAAAAATTTCCATTCTAACTTCGTCAGTTTTATATCTTTATATCATGGCTCAAGGCTTGACAGAAGAAAATAATGAAGACTTTTGGGGGTTTATTTTTCAGACTTTTACCCTGATTTTCTTCTTTTCGTTGGCAAGTATAATTGATAAATACCCTGGCACAAAGGTTGACAAAGTTTTTAGATTCCTCTCAAGAACTTCCGAATTCTTTGCTCGTTCATTAACGCCAATTTTTATGGTTTCCTCTCTCATTGGTGTTTTTGGTACCATGGATTGGAATATATTTTGTACATCCTTTTCTCGAGACTATCTACTCAAACGGCACATAATCTTAATTACTTTAGCCGTTTCAACGCTTTTCATGTTATTATGTTTTTTTATTTGGGACTTACTACGAATATGCGTCTCCTTTAACGTTAAAGAAGGACCTAAGTTTGCAGATTGGTTTAAACATTATACTTCTAAAGCTGAATTTTTTTACTTTTTTACTTGGCTCATCACCATGTGTATGAGATTTTACGACCCTTATAATCTATCACTGAGCTTCTGGCTCTTCAAAGCCGTGTACGGACTACTTATTCACGTTGGTCAACGCTTCGTACGTGTTGACATTAAAATTTTTCCTATCTGGAGTTTTTTACATGTTTTTGGTTCATCAATACTCTGGTATGTTTTCTCATATCGTTCATTCGAATGGCGCTTGCCCTTTAGTGCATTTGTATCATTTATATTAGGAACCTATTTCAAGACTGGTCTCAACGACATCAAGACTCCTTCGCACCGATATTATTATAATCTTCAGATTCGATCCGCCACTCTGTCTAAAAAAAACGAAAAAACCTACAAACGCCTGTCGATTATCATGAATCTTTTGACCTTGGTGCAATTCTCAATTGAAATGATTCTATTTGACGTTAACAATCCCAAGGCATCAACCGTCAACATGAATCTGTGGCATAATCGAATCTGTTTCAAATTTATTGCTGCTGCCTACACTATTTGGACACAAAGCATGGTGACCCATTCTTTACGTGTCATTTCAGAACTGGTTTTTTATAACAGCGGCCTTTATCCCACGAAGCAACGACCCACAATATACAAAAGAAATTATTTCGAAGTATTCTCTACGATTCTTGGTGTAACCTGTTTTCCTTTTATTGGGCATACATTCACCTTTTATCTTTTGGCTTTGAATGGTATTTACTGGTTTGGTTTTCGAATCTTTGCAATTTGGCAATCAAACAAAGATTTTCATAAAGCTGTTGGATATGTCAACGTTAAAGAAAAAGTCGACGACATCAAAACACTTGTAGACAGTGTATTTGGTTGATTTTTGTATTCGAAAATAATTCATAAAGAATCTAACAAAAATAATAGTTTAAGAGAAATAATTTCATTTCGCATTTCCATAATAATTTATATTGAAATAATTAATAAATGTTTATTTTTATGTTATATTAATATGCAACGCATCAAATACATAACAATAAGTTTAAGCTACATAAAGACACTATTAGAGACTACATTAGTATTAGCGATTAAATTAGAGACTACAATATTAATATAGTATTAGTATGACATTTTATTGAATAGTGATTTTCTTTGGAATTGCATTCTCCGATTTCGGAATCTTTACTTCCAATACTCCATGCTCGAATTTCGCGGCTATTTCATCAGACTTGACATTCGATGGCAACGAAATACTACGCGAGTATTTGCCGAAACGACGCTCTTGGATATGTGTATTGCCTTCTTTGTATTTCTGATCTTGTTTTGTTTCACCAGAGATGTGAAGTATGTTATTGCGTACATCAACGTTTACGTTCTCTTTTGGAACACCCTAAATCACAAATAATGGATTTAGTATAGGTAGGTAAAAATTCTATTAACAAGAGATGACAGACCAAAATAGAAACTTACAGCTAATTCAGCATTCACTATAAACTCTTTATCTGTTTCGTAGACATCAAGAGGAGGAAGCCAAGAGATGCCACTATTTGCGCCACGAGATCCAGCACGAACATTTCCACCGCGTTTAGCTGTGTCTAGATCAGTGAAGAAATTTGCAAATACATTGGAGACTGCGTTTTCAAGTTGTCGAAATTCTGGGTCGTGGTATAAGGACATTTTTGTGGATTGTGTTGAGTAGTTTTTTGTTTTTTCAAGAGAAGATAATCGCTTTATAAGTTTGTTATGCTTTGGTTTGGTTTTGGTTTGTTATACTTTTGTTACTTGTTGTTGTATTTTCTTGAAGAGAATGAGAATGGAGACGACGAAGGGCTCGAATATTTATACAAAAATTTGAAGCGTCACATGAAATAAAATACAATTCAACAATCATTCCAGAATGTTCGCGAGAAATTTTAAACATTTTATGCAGATGTATGCTTACCGTTAAGATTTGCAAAAAATGGATTAGCGTTAGGCTTAAAATCACCTCATACAGTATGTCGAACTGAGGGGGATTGACTTTTGTTGTTCTACAAACAAATCAAATGTCTAGAATGATCACGTATGTACCTGATTGATCGAAACTAAACTTGCATTTTCTAGAGAATCTTCGATTAATCTTCGTAAACACGATTAATAATAATTATAGAAGTCAGATTGAACAACCTGAATTTGTCCTTTTTAGGATGGATTCTGACATCATGGATGAATTGTAAATATTGATGTTGGTCAGCATTTTCAGGCAAGACAATAATAATTATATTTTTTTTGGTTCACGAGAGCAAACATTCATACGTATGTTCAGTATAGCCATGGCTGAATTTATTCACTGTCTATGTGAAATACAGAAGGATAGCTAATTACACGATAACTTTTTTGTTATTTATGAGTTTGCCTTGAGTAACATAGGATAAAGCAACTAGATTTGATTATGCGTAATATTTTTGAGAAAAGTTGGCATAATTAACAAAACCAGAAATTTTAAGTTTAAATTGTTAATAAAAAAAATCAGGAAACATTAACTTGATATTTTCATGATAGAATATTACTTTTATATCCATTTACCAGAATAAACGATGTTAATTGAGAGTTAGAGTATTATGTATTATCTAATTAATGCAGAAATGGAAAATTCGTCAAATACATGCACCAATAGCGTCACACTAGGTGTAAACGCCATGTCCATTTGCGACTGTATCTAATAGAATTCAAATACTGCATACATGTATCAGTATATCAAAATAACGACAATAAAGTTACCCCCGAGAAGATATCTGCCTAATAAATTTTCGTTGCTCTAAAGAATATAAGTCGGCGCTTGTTCGTATGTTATGACAACCGCGTTAGTATAACTAACTACTCCATCCAAACAACCTTTATTGCACTCATTATTATTATTATTATTAGTCTAGACCGTTAGTATGACATGTCACCTTAATATAATTTCTCAATGATTTTTTTTAAAGTATTTCTTATATTTTATATTATGTACAAAATTCTTTGTTCTGACGATGTCATACATACTAACGAGGTGGGCTGCATAATAGATTCATATGATGAATACATACCCACATCTTAAAACCATCTAGCAGGACAAAATTCGGGTCCAATCAAGTTTCAACATCGTACACCTAATCGGTTTCTTTAGACGGTTAGCCACAAATAATTAGGCTAAGCTGAATGAATGTGAATTCCAGAATCAGGATTAGGTTTCATACTTATCAAATGCATGTACAGCACATGTATTGATGTGCGTTAATTCGATTCTGGTGCGAGTCACAAGCTAAAATTAAAGTGCAGGTGTGGATGACTCAAACCTATTTATAGACACATAAAAAAAAACGTATAGAAAACTTCAACATTTATTTAAAGCATACTTAGGGATTAAAATAATGCGAGTGCTAAATTGGACCATTCATTTGGCACGTTCTCCAGTCTATTTATATATTTATATATTTATTCGATGCCCGCATTATGATACACTATATCCACTAGATAGAATAGTCAAAAGCCATAAATTGCATAGGAACTGAAAAACAAGAAGGCGTGGTTCAATCTTTCATGTTGAATAATACAGACAAGATGCGATTATTTATTGGAAATAAAATAAATTTTTCATTTTTATAAAAAAATTTACCATAACATGCATTTTTGTATCGGTTTATCCGCATTAACCAATTTAATTTCGTAATTACATCAGTAGCATCTTTACAAAAGCGAGTCCGATAATTCTCGCGGGACAAATGTGTAATCCACCAAACCCATAGATAAATGGTTTTAGAAGCTACTTTTTTATCACTGCCATCATTGATAAATCTTTCTGATATAAATTTTTCGGGGTCCGTAAAGTAATTTTCGTTTCTATGAGGCGTTTGGTCGAATTGTGTGTCAGTTTCCATTTGATATCCGGTTATTTCATCTTCGCGTTGATTTGTACAGAACATAAATGGCACCGCTGTGTCAATACGTGTTACTGATATAAATTTTGTTGGTTTAAAGTAAAGGCAGAAACAGACTGAATTTATAAAAAATAATAAGTGGTTAGAAATTCTGCAACAGGTCATAAAAAAATACACATTACGTCAATTGACCCAGCAATAGACTCGAATAAACTCATTTGTATTGGATCATCAGTCAAAGGTCTATTCAAATAATTTGGGTCGCGTTCTGTATTTGCTGCGATCAACAAATTCATTGTAGCTGGTCTGCTTTCAATGGTTCATTGTTTGACGTATTTCTACTACTTTTCCTCACCCTCCTTAATTGATCACGGGCTTTAAGATGCTCCTAGCGTTCTTACAAACTAACTGTAAAAAAGAATAGTAAGCAAATGTCATCATTACCAATAAGGTTAAAACCTCCCGGAGTCGAGTCGAACACGGGGTCAGCTTCTTCTCATTTACCCTATTCACCATCTCCGCATGATAGATAGACAGAGAAGGACATTCACAGGAGGTTACTCGACCCACAACCTCACTGTAGCCACGATGCGCTTCCAGTTTTCTGCTATCTTGTATACTACTAGTGGCAGCGTAACTTCAGATACATATGGTTAGACAAATAACTCAGTGAAATAATGTCTCACCTATTCTGTAATAATGAATATTCATGCTTTTTCGTTTCCCTTTAGTGACAGACGGAGCAAATGAGGTCAAGGTTTAGCGTAAAGTTCTGTTTATAGTAATTAAAAAAGAAGGTTGTATTAACTATGTTTATTTTATATTGTTTATGACTAGATAATTATTATATCACAATATTAATAACGATAATGTTATATTATTGTCCGGAGCGAAACGAAGCTTTTCCTGATATAATCTCTATTTTGATGCTAATCCTAATCCTAGAGAAAGCATCTTATTATTGCACTTCATACTAAAAATATTTTAGAGTGAATTATTACTAAAGTTTTAGCTTATAGGAAAAATTACTAAAGAGTATTATAAAATTTATTTTATAAAAATATCTTAATATTTAAATAATATCTTATTAAGTATTAATTAGTATTTATTTATTTTATATTTTAAAAATTTTTTATTACTCTCAAATCAAAACCGAGTTATTAAAGAACCAATTTATTATTTTAAAACAAACTCGGCTCTTATGAATTATGAATTTAATCAAATTTTTAGGAATACATAGACGAAATTGGTGAAATTCTAAAATTGTATTGATTATTTATTTTTCAGAAAAAAGTTTATTAAGTTAACATATAATTGAAGGGAAGTTTTTAAAATCATTAAATAATAATTTTCAAAATTAAATCTTCCGTTTCCTAACTCAATAATTAAAATGACAATGCAATTGTAAATTCGATATAGAATAATTTAGAATAAATTTAGTTCTATAAAGCCAATTTTAAGTGTTTATACAGACATTTCAAAAATTTAGAACTATATTATTTGCATTAGAGTTCAGACCGGTTGTATTTTTAATATTTAATTCGAATTTATATTCAAAATATATTCGGTTTCAAACTCTAGCTATCATTCAAATATGCATACAAACATGTTATTGTTAAGCATTTTTATCATAAACAATATGAAAGATATTAGAATAGTGATCAATCAAGTATTGTCATACTCAATTTCAGAAGTTAGATAGACTAAAGAATTATTCATGAGGGGTTCTAAAGGTTTTCTGCGCCAACCTGCACTGAGATTGTGCAAGAAAAGGGCAAAGGATTATAAGGGCAAATGTAAAGTATACAATAATGATATTTAATTTCAAATAATAAAATAGTATAACTAATCACTAACAAGATAAAACTTTAATTCAACTAACAAAATGGCTAAAATTTATTAATAAAATTTAAATAACAGTTAAATTCAAAGCATAAAAATAGATTTTTTCTTAAACAAAAATGAATATAATCAAATAATTAAAAATCAAACGTAAACAAGTCAACATTGTATGGCAAGCAGTAAAGCCTTCGATTTTGCTAAGTACAAAAGAAATAAAGCTATCATTTTGTTGAGACACAAAAGAAATAAAGACTAAAGCACTGCCAGGTAAGAGCTAAGAATAATTTTATTTATTTTTTTTCAAACCGCACATTGACTTGTCTTTCAGTCCCTCGAGAGCCATCCTTTATATATAATTTGGTCCTATATAACTATATAGAATGCAAAACGCAAGTCACTACAAGAGTTCGCGAGTTACTACATACAAAGTATGAATTGTTGTAAGGATTTTTGCAAAGGGGATATGGGCTATGCTTCGAGACAAATAATAATAATAATAATAATAAAATAAAGTAAAACTATTACGTCAGCGCAAAATGTGAATTTTAGTAAGAATTTCTATCGTTTAAAGGAATAACGTACGATTCAAATGTTTGTAAGAATTCCTACTGATAATTTGAACGCAGAGTAAGAATTTTTGTAGGAAATTCATGAAGTAGTGTAATACCACAAAGTTTAATGTCAAGGTAAGAATTTTTCTTAGGAATAATTATTGCATGTACTTGTATGGCTAACTGATTATATATTTTTAACACTTAATTTTAGTCGCTTATTTACAATTTATTTCAAATTTTAGTATCAATGCTATTTGCGAAGGAACATCGAAGTTTTTTATTTGATATGAGGAACCTTTATAAAATGGGGAATCTTGAATAAAGAAGTCGATTTCGAATTACTAATTACTCGACAGGGAATTCGAGATTCATCCTATTTTCAAATCGCACAGCAAAATAATCACTTATTCAAATGTTATACCACCACTTCGTTGAGCGCAAAAATAATCGAAATACATCACACAATATAAGTTTGAAGAAAAGAAATTTTGTGTAGTAAATTTTCGAATAAATATGAAAGAAAGCATCTACAACTTTTTATTTACAGTAAATTCATGTAAGAAGCGGAATAATATCGATATCAATATCATTTTGATTTTTTATATATAGCTATCTAATTTTTTATAATATGGCGTGCTTGGCATCGTCCAAAGAATTCCACTTTATTTTTGATGAATGTGAAATATCTCAAATTGTGCTAAATGAGAATTATGTTGTGGATTTGTAAAAATTGAAATGCTTGCTTTTACCTTATTTAATTCAATACTTTAAATTGAGTTAATCTAACAAAATTTGATTAAAAATCCATGATCAATGAATTTTCATTATTCATCAAATATATAATCTAATTTTTGACATAAAGACCTATCTGTTTTTTTCCTTCGTTTTGCAATACATTTATCACAGGAATATACCTCATCTTCGTATTCCCGATATGATTACTAATAAATCTCATGTTATACGTACAGTGAAAAATTTTTCAGTATAGCAAGACATGATCACAATCCTGCATTTCTGTGTTTATAGTCAATTTTTTTTTTAGTTTATTTAATTCCGACTGTCCGGTTTCTAACTGCTGTTTAAGTCGTTATCAATTGTAGAAATCGTTTAATTTTAAATCGCACCATTTATCACGTGATTCTTTTGTTGGAGACAGCCAACTATCGTGTTATAATGAATTTTCAAGTTTATATTGTCACAAGGGGAATTAGAAAAATTTAATTACGTGATTTCTGACACTTCCCTAAAGATAAAAATAATTGAAACAATAAAAATTATTAGTCGAGGATGACAGCTAAATTTCAAATTTAATCTCAGAATTAACCACCCCCAGTAAAAACTTTAAATTTTGGTTTTCAACTGTATCTGATTTTTACAATGAAACGTTAGCGGTAATTAAACGCCCTCTCAAACGAATACATCAAAAGAAAAATTAACGTTAAAAATTATCAAAAATTAAAATGAAATCGATTTGTTTTAGATTTTGTATTCAAATACCGTTTAGCACTGTATATATTACCCTCCCCTGTAAAAACTTTGTCATTTAATTAATCTCAATGCAACTATTTTAATAATAAGAGTTTTTGAAGAACCGCACTAGGACTCTTGCATTGTTTATTTTACAGAAAAAATATTTTTTGCTTAAAAAAAATTCGAGGCAAAGTTAAATGACAAAGTTTCTTCAGGGGAGGGTACTACAGTCCTAAACGGTAGATCTTTGAAAATTCGAAGTATTATGACATTTCAATCCTAATGGTCGCAATATTTTGCTATTGCGCTTTTTGCTGCATGGATGAAATGATAACTATATAAGATGATTATTTTAAGAAATCGAATATCGAATCCCGAGTTTTTGAAATTTTGCTGAATTAATTGATGCTAAAATGAAGTAATGAAACAACCAAGATTTTCCAAGTATCTTTGCAACTTTAATACTTGTGCATCTATCTTGTACTTAATTTAATAATTATAGAAAGATATCTTGCGTATCATTTCCGATCGTCGGCCGGACATGAATGCGTGACTTTCCTAAATGAAATCATCCTTATTTAAAATGACTCAGGCGGCATCCACTTTTGTGTTTCTTTAACGAAATACTTATTATCTATTCACAACATTCACAATGCCAAACAAATCAAAGCAAAATACCACAAAATCCAATAAAACGAAAAGCAAATTAACTCCTGCTACGAATGATAACACTGACAATATTAATGAACGAGAAAAGCCTGTGGATAAGAAATTCGCGCTTGTAGCTGAGAAGCCTGCCACAACCGGTGAAATGGCATTAGCAAACAGAGAAGAAAAGCTTGGTACGGAAAAAGTCAGCAAAAACCCATACGTTGAAGTGGTCCAGAAAAGACTCCGATCCTTGGGAAAACGACGGGTGAATGTTTATTTTGCGAAGGCATACTTACGCGTTTTATGAAATTATAACCTTTCAATAATGAAATATCAGTAAGAATCTTGACTAACCTTTCACTCTTTATTTCCAAAGATGAAGCATCTTCAATATGAAGAAATGCTGAGATCGGGGGACCAGATCAACTTCAGACATTGAAGCTGAAAGATAACGTCGAATTCGCTATACAAGATAAAAAGCTTAAATTCTGTTGTAGTGTATTCAAAATTATTTGGAAAAATAAATTTATTATTACTCCGCAATTACCAAACCAATTATAATAAAAATACATTTATTTGAAAGATAAAAACATGTATTTTGTTAAAAAAATTTTAGTAATCAATAGTATTGCCTTTACTCTCTATTACTAGCATACATCTTCATTTCATCGATTTTACTAAACTCTCTAATGTATCATTTGGAATTAAATTCCATTCCTCCTTCATAAATGATTCTAATT